TCATAAGGGACAGGTATAGGAAGAGCTTGGGTGTTTTGGATCGTGTCACTCCCAGGTGACAGATCCATTGGGGCATCTCTCAGTCTTCCCTAGACTGCCCGCTGCGATGGTATCCTGTATCCTAGCAGCTGAAATCTGAGGTGTAATAAGCTCTTCCTGTAAATTCTGGGGCATCTGTCAGCCTGTTGGCTGCCCTCCACAACGGGACCCTGGTCCTAGTGGTAAAGGCACGGACATTAAACCTTTTCTCGGTAACACACACACACACACACACACACACTGCCCTGACCATTGGCTGAAAATGTCTCCCCCCCTCCCCCCGGGATACATTTCCCACTTGCCTGCCCTCCCCCACCATCCCCTGAAGCGCAATGGGACTCTCTGATCCTAGAATATCCATAAATCTTTTGGACCACGGATATTGCCAGAACAGAGAGTCCCAGATTTTAGACATGAAGCCTGGACTATTTACCTGTTCAGTGAAGTTGATGAATTCCCAAACTTCCCCTGACCTGGGGAAAAGCCACATTCCAAAAATAAAAGAAACTACTGAGAGAAATAGGAGGACACAGTCAGAAACATGGAACTGATCTGAATGGCGATTATTTTTCTAAATGTTTTCCAATACATTTGTAGTTCAGTTTTCCTTGATACATCTCTTGGTGTTTCTGACAATATATTTATGTACTTGTGCCTATCACTACTTAGGAATGGGTGTTTTTTTGTAATACCAGCCCTGTTCTTTCAGATTCTATGAGCTGGGTCTGATTCTTCCTCACAGCTTAACTTTGCTTTATAGCTACAAACATTTTGATTACTTTAACCAATGCCTCAGGCCTCGTGTTAGCCCTCTGTCCAAGTCAATTCCCAGTCCTTCTTTCTAACAGAGTCTCCCACTGTTTGTCTTTTTTGAAGGAGGATGTTTACCCATTATCCTAGAAAAGCATAATGCATGGACTGAGAATGTTCCACTAGGCTAAACATTATACAGAAAAGCTGGACATGCAAAGGTCCATGGGGCAGGGCCTAATACATTCAAGAGTGATGAGAGAATTGGCTGATATGATTGTGAGAACAACTTTGGTGGAGGTCCTGAAAGATTGGAAAAAGGCAAACATACTGGCCATCTTTTAAAAGGAAAGAAGGAGAATCCAGGCAACTACACACCAGTTAGCCGTCTCTCAATCCCTTGAAAAATCATGAAGCTGATCCTCACAGAATCCATTTTGAAACATTTGGGCTGTGTCTAGACTGGCAAGTTTTTCCGCAAAATCATCTGCTTTTGTGGAAAAACTTGCCAGTTGTCTACACTGGCCGCTTGAATTTATGCAAAAGCACTGACGATCTCATGTAAGATTGTCAGTGCTTTTGCGGAAATACTATGCTGTTCCTGTTCGGGCAAAAGCCTTTTTCTGAAAAACTTTTGCGCAAAAGGGCCAGTGTAGACAGCAGAGATTTGTTTTCCACAAAAAAGCCTTGATCGTGAAAATGGCGATTGGGGCTTTTTTGTGCAAAAGCGCGTCTAGATTGGCACGGACGCTTTTCCACAAAAAGTGCTTTTGCTGAAAAGCGTCCTGCCAATCTAGACGCGATTTTCCGAAAATACTTTTAACAGAAAACTTTTCCGTTAAAAGCATTTCCGGAACATCATGTCAGTGTAGACGTAGCCTTGAAGTAGAGAAAAGTGATCTGGAGCAGTCAACATGGATTCACCAAGGGCAAGTCATTCCTGATCAATGTAATTTTCTTCTATAATGAGCTAACTGCCTCTATGGATCTGGGGAACGCAGTAGACATGATATACCTTGACTCTAGTAAAGTTTTTTATATGGTTTCCCATATTATTCTGGACAGCAAGTTAGAGGAGTATGGTAAGGTAGCTAGATCATCACACTCAATGGGTAGTGTTCTCGTCATTATGCATGCCTGTCTCCCACTGCTCAGTTTCCGCAGAGGTTTAGCATAGTGGGAACATAAGTGTGCCACTCCCTCACAGAGGTTAAATGGGGGAAAGGAGGCCTCACTGGGGATACACATTAACTTTCTCAATTCCCAGATAATTTGTGAGGGGTCCAAATTTGCCACGAACCATAACGGGATGCCCAACTGAGCATTCTTTGCTTTGTTTATGAAAGGGTAGAAGCTGGTAAAATCATAAGAGTAGATTTTCTCGCCAGGGTTAGGTTTGCAATATACGGGGACAGTGTTAGACTTCCCCACAAAAGAGCATCCCTAGGCACGAGAGAGGGAAGTAGCTGAAATTTATGTAAGAAATCTTCAAACTTCCTGTCCATTTCTAGTATCAGAGGGGTAGCCGTGTTAGTCTGAATCTGCAAAAGCGACGAGGAGTTCTGTGGCACCTTACAGACTAACTGAAGTGTAGGAGCATAAGCTTTCGTGGGCAAAGACCCACAGATGACATGCATCTGATGAAGTGGGTCTTTGCCCACGAAAGCTTATGCTCCTACACTTCAGTTAGTCTGTAAGGTGCCACAGAATTCTAGCATCACCTCCCAACGCATGCTCCCAGAGAATCTGTACAATGTGACAGAACCTTTATGACAATCAGTCTTGGGCTACATCTTGTAATTAAAAAAAAATTGTCCCTGCCATAGGACTCTCTACTTTTTCACAATAGGAAGTGACACGGCCATTGGAAAAAGCACCTATAAAAGGCTGTTTGCATGCTGGTGTAACCATCTATTAAGAGATGAAGAGTCCTCCTTATAGACTAACAGATTTATTGGAGCATAAGCTTTTGTGGGCAAAGACCCACTTCGTCAGATGCATGTCTGAGAAGAGCTATAGTGGTAGCCTACAGAAATATAAACCAGTATAGAGCCATGCAGAAGCATGCCAGCGTTATGTCATGGAACCTTCTGATGGTCAGCATGGGCAACCGGTACCGGCTGGACTTATCTCTCACTTTGGCCAAGATCTCAGAAGCCCTCTGTCTCATGCCCACTCATATATCTCCAGATGGGCTCCCTGTCAAGTTGCATCCTGTGTTTTGGGAACTGCATGACCTTTGAAACTGGAATCCCATTTTGCTCCTCAGCATGGACTAGAAAGTGATAGAAAAGGCCACCTTGCTGTGGACAGGCTGCATTCTGGGGGAGATGCTCCTCTCTCAGCTATTTGGTCTATCCCAGGCTCTCTCAGTGCCAGGTCTTGGTTGCCTTGAGACCCTCCTGTTCAAAATCCCACTCACCTCCGTGGACCCATGTTTTGACTTCTCTTTCTAGGACTATCCCAGGCTCCTTCAGAAGTTAATTAATGATGCCTCTTGATGCTTTTAACCAGCTCATTTTACTTATCATATATATTCTTTGTTTCAAAGGAGTCAGATGTCTTAAAGCCATGCCCTATAGGCATGGTATTTCTAATTTTCACCCACTTAATGCTTTAGGAAGAGGCTGCAGAGTTGTGTCAACTGAACATCACCCCATATTTACTCCCTCTTCCATCATTTACTTCAGCCCCGTGTGCGATGGCTTTCAACAGGGTTGGCTTGCCCCAGTCAGCTTCTGCCCACTCAGGACGTTCTATTTGTGTTAATTGTTTTCAAGTGGATATCTCTGACGATTCAAAGATCAGCTCCACCTCCATTGATGATCAGATCCAGATTCCACTCCCAGAATGACATCTTAAGAATCTTAAGAATCACACATAGCCGCTCCAGGATTGTGAACGAGTCAGCAATATCACCTGCCTTCATATGCAGGACACGACTGTTTAGGTTTCCCAATATTTGGAGAGGTGCTATTCCTGCTTTTTGACCACATCCAATTGGTGCTTCTATTCTATCTCTATCTCCTCAGTTTCTTGCTCTTTTAGTTCCATACCCCTTCGGTATTCTGACTTCCCTCTGGCAACCTTTGCCTCTTTTAGCTCCAAAATTCTCCTATTTTTTCTACTGCCTGCAATCAAAAGAGCTATACTATCTCCATTGTTTCACTGATTATGGTTGAGAACCACCTTCCATATGAGGAGAGATTAAAAGGATTAGGAAATCTCAGCCGGGAATGAGATGACCTGGAAAAATTGAATGATGAGAAGTTATTTGCTCCTTTAAATGACTTTCCACAAGATGGCAAGAAACATTAGTATTAGAACCAAGTGGATCTAATGTTTATTTCATTTTCTTACTTTTATATCAGTACTATGATCATCTAATTGCTAAGTTATATGCCAGGTCTGGGGAACCTTTCTCGGGTCAGGGGCCGTTGACCCACAGAGAAATCAGTCAGGGGATGCACAGAAGTGAGAATTGAAAAAACAGAAAACAAAACCAACCAACCAAACAAAAACCCCTCATTGACGTGACCCCCAACTGAGAAGGAGAAAGACACTCCCCACATTCTCCTTACACAGCAGAGCCTTGGGGGGGCTAGTAGATTTTGTGTGCTCCGGCTCCACAGGAGGATGGCACACCATCATAGTCTCCCCAGTACTGGGGGTGGGGGAGCCCTGAGGTTCAGGGGCTGGATCCAGGAAAGCTGGGGGCCACATGCAGCCCCTGAGCCTGAGGTTCCCCACCCTTGTTATAGGCCAAAGAAAATAAAAGCTCTTCAGAGCATAAGTAACTTCTAGAATTTGTGTGAAAGTTGCCATCCCTACCATAAAACAAAATGGTTCCCTTCCAGCAAGGAGTGGGAGAAGAGAGGTGGAAATGCTCCAGTGAATGATGGGGCAGTGGAAGAGAAGAGCAAGTGATAGGGGTGGAGCCTTGATGGGAAGGGAAGGAAGGAAATCAGGAGACCTTGACACAAAGATGGGGAAAGGTGCAGAATTCAGGGGTCCAGTTCCCAGGAATGAGAAAGGTGACAACCCTGTGACTTCTACATAGACCAATTCCCCAGCCTGTCATGAGAACACAGGGAAGGACTTAATGTCTTTTTGAGTGTCCAATAAATGATTCAGGGAAGGGGCCCAGCACTATGTCAGCAGCCACTTCTGCACACAGCTTGCACTGACAACCAGAGTCCCAGGAGAAAAATTTAGGTCTGTTTAGGAGTAAAGAGATGGAGCAGCCTTTGCCAGATTTGTTTGGTCCTCACCCCATAGATAATGGGGTTTAGCATCGGGGGCACCAGGACATACACATTGGCAAAGAGAATGTGGAAATGCAGGGGCACATTGTGACCAAACCGATGTGTGATGAAGGAGAAGAGACCTGGGATGTAAAAGACTAAGATGACACACAGATGGGAACCACAGGTCCCAAAAGTCTTGAGCCGGGCCTCCCTTGTGGGGAGTCTGAAGATGGCCCTGAGGATCTGAATATAGGACACAGTGATAAGAAATACATCTGTACCAATCACAGAGAATGCCACAAAAAGCCCATAGTAACTACTGACACGGACATCAGCACAGGCCAGCTTCACCACTGCGATGTGCTCACAGTAAGAATGCAGGACAGTGTTGGTTCTACAATATGGCCACTGACGTGCAAGGAGGGGATACGGCAACACAAGTATTGCACCGCGCAGCGCTATGGCTAAGCCCATCTTGGCCACCGTGGGGTTTGTCAGCATGGTGCAATGTCTCAGGGGATCACAGATGGCCACAAAGCGATCGAAAGCCATGGCCACTAAAATCCCAGATGCCATCGTTGAGAAGCAGTGAATGAAGTACATTTGTGTGAGGCAGGCACTGAAATCGATCTCTGTGGAACCGAACCAGAAGATTCTCAGCATTTTGGGCAGGATGGACGTTGACAGGACCAGATCACTGACAGCTAGCATGCAGAGGAAATAGTACATGGGTCCATGCAGGCTCGACTCCATCTTCACGATGATGAGGATGGTGAAGTTCCCCAAGATGGATATCATGTACATGGTGCAGAAGGGGATGGAGATCCAGAGATGTGACACACATGAGCCGCCTCCAGGCCGGGAATGCCCAGCAGGATGAAGGTGGAGGGGTTGGTGAAGTCAGTGGTGTTGGAATCTGACATGGAGTAGGAGAGATGGTGTCCAACTCTGAGGCAGAAGAGTGTCACCTGCATACACCGTACATTCCCCATACTTTTTTTATCTGAACATGGTATTGGGTAATAATCGCAGTACAAATGCCTGGATGGAGAGAGAATGCTAATATAAGACATAGCGTGCGTTACTGGGGGTTGTTCTCATGGGGTATGTCTACACTACCACCCTAGTTTGAACTAGGGTGATTAATTTAGGCAACCGAAGTTGCAAATGACGCTTGGGATTTGAATTTCCTGGGCTTCGTTTGCATCTGGCCGGGTGCCACCATTTTTAAATCCCCGCTAGTTCAGACTCCGTGCCCGTGGCTATACGCGGCACGGACTAGGCTTCCTATTCCGAACTACCGGTACACCTCGTTCCACCCATGGTGAAGAGGATGGGAGGTTCCTCTCAGACTGACATTTCATTATTCAGAAAATATATTATGAACCACTGACCTACTCATGCCAATTCAATGTTTGTAGGGGTATCCTACTGTGAGACACCTGCAGAGGCACCAGCAAGAGGCACAAGTGTTGTTACTATCTATGACTATTTGATAATGCAATTAAAATGAGACTAGAGAGTCACTGCTATAGAGAGTTTCTTAAATTAAAGGAGATTGCCTATCTCCTAAGACTGGAAGGGATCTTGAAAGGTCATCAAGTCCAGTCCCCTGTCTTCACAGCAGGACCAAGTACCACCCCTGACAAATTTTTGCCCCAAATCCCCAAATGGTCTCTGCAAGTATTGAACTCACAAGCCTAGGTTTAGCAGGCCAATGCACAAACCACTGAGCTATCCCTCCCCCCAGTTGTGCAAAATGTGAGTGCAATGAGAACAAGAAAGACACAAACAATCAAAAAAACCAAAACAAAGAAAAAAAAACAAACAAAAAAAACCCCAGCAGCAACAACAACAAAACCCAAAACCCAAGACTTTTCCAGGATATTTGCTGGAGAAAACATCCCAACCAGAAGACAACTAAGGAAGAGGACCTTGGTGTCATGGATAGCTTCTAGTTGCTCTAGATGTGCTCTCAGTTTTGATCAACCTGGCCTGGTCTGCACTATATGGGAAGACTGAAGTAAGAGATGCAACTTACATGAGATACGTAATGGATGTAGCTAAAGTTGTTGTATCTTAAATCCCTTACTCCTTGTGTAGAATAGGAGTATTAGCACAGATGGGGGTGCCCTTTGAGTTTGATCTAGCTGGTCTATGCTACATCTGCTAAATCAAAATCCTCAAGACTGACCACAGCAGTATCACCCTTCCACATAATGTAGACATCCCCCCCCACTCTCTAGCAAGGATATAACATTATAAAGAGGGTTTCCCAGACATCTACGATAAAGGGAAATGCAAGTTGCTATGTAGAAACAGACTGAAAAGTCTGGGGCTGTTCAGACGAAGAAGGGGACATATGATAGAGGAGAGAAAAAATAAAAAATCAAAACTATTTATATTGAAATGGACAATCAGATAAGAAGAAACACAAAGAGGAAGGAGCAACAAAGAAGGACCCCTGATTCAAACGGAGAAGGTCGGCCAATCCGCTAGTTATCCAAGGTGTTTGTGCAAGAGTGCAAGAACCTGGGAAACAAACAGGAAAAATTAGAAGCCTTGGCACAGTCAAAGAGCTATGAGGTGATTGGAATAACTGAGACTTGGTGGGATGATGCATGACTGGAGCGCTGTCATGGAAGGGTATAAACTGTTCAGGAAGAACAGGAGGGGGAGAAAAGGAGGAGGAGTTGCACTGTATGTCAGAGAGCAATATGGTTGCTCAGAGCTCCAGTGTCTAGCGGGAGAAAAGCCTGTTGAGAGTATTCGAGTTAAGTTTAGAGGTGGAAGCAACGGGGGGGATGTTGTGGCTGGTGTCTGCTACAGACCGCTGGATCAGGTGGATGAGTTAGACGAAGCTTTCTTCAGACAACTAAGGGTGTGTCTAGACTACCTAGTTTTGTCGACAAAAGTGGACTTTTGTCGACAAAACTATACCAGCGTCTACACTACCGCTGAGTTCTGTCGACATAACGTCGACAGAACTCAGCAGTTTTGTCAACGCTGGTATACCTCATTTTACGAGGCATAACACCTTCTGTCGACAGAACTCTGTCGACAGAAGGTTTTATTGCCTGTAACGTTGTGTCCAGACTACGGAGTTCTATCGACAAAGCAGCTTGCCTTGTCAACAGAACTCAATGTGTCTGGACGCTCTTTGTCGACAGAAGTTTTGTCGACAGTATCTGTCGACAAAACTTCCGTCGACAAAACGCGGTAGTCTAGATGTACCCTAAGAGAAGCTTCCAGATCACAGGCCCTGGTTCTCATGGGGGACTTTAACCGCCCTGACATCTGTTGGTAGACCAATACAGTAGTACACAGACAATCCAGGAAGTTTTTGGAGAATGTTGGGTATAACTTCTTGGTACAAGAGCTGAAGGAACCGATCAGGGGCCATGCACAGCTTGACCTGCTGCTCACAAACAGGGAGAAGCTAGTAGGGGAAGTAGAGGTGGATGACAACCTGGAAAGCAGTGATCATGAGATGGTTGAGTTCAGGATCCTGATCAAAGGAAGAAAGGAGAGCAGCAAAATACACAACCTGGAGTTCCGAAAAGCAGACTTTGACTCCCTCAGAGAACTGATGGGCAAGATCCTCTGGCATGCTAACATGAAGGGGAAAGGAGTCCAGGAGAGCTGGCAGTATTTTGATTCCACAGCGATTATCCACAGTGGATGGTACTGGCTAGAAACCCGTTTCAGTTGCAAAGAGAAGGTAGCCATTAAGTGGGCAAAAAGCAATATATAATGAGGAAAAGGGGGAAAGAAATATAAATTAGAAGTTATGAAAATTGATAATAGACAGGAAAGACAAATGCGTGCAGTTTGCTGCAAGTTTGCTGCAGTGGGGTTGCTCATGGGAGGAGGGATTTTTTGGCTGGGGCATGCTGTCCGGGACAAACCACAACAGTATGGTTGACGTTACATTACAGTCTGAGACAGCACCTTGCCACAAGGGGCCTTATTAAGTGTCTGAGGTCTGTGCATTAGGCAGGAGATACTTTCCGCATTTCACCAAGTTTCAAGACTCCATATGGGTACAGCTACACAGCTTCACTATTTTGAAATAATGCCCATTATCCCCAAATAGCATGCAGTGTGTCTCAACAGCAAGTACATTATTTCAAAATACGTTTGAAATAACTGACTTGTTATTCCGACATCCCATAAACCTCATTGCACAAGGATTAAGGGATTCATGGAATAGCGCTCTATTTCGAAATGACCGTTGTTTGGCCAGTGCCAAATTTTCAAATAGGCTATCCTGAAATAAGCTACAAAATTTGTGTAGCTCAAATTGCTTATTTTCAGCTACATGCTACTGTGTAGATGTTCCCTATAACTGACATCTGGATACCGAATGTGCCCCCTTCTCCTCTGCTCCCAACGCTGGCTTCCTGGACTTTCCCCAGAGAGATTTACAACACTGCCTTTAAGCCAGACGGTTATGCTTTCGTGTGTACTGGCTTTTGGTACTGCTCATCCTCTCCGGCTACAGAGTTGCCCGCTCACTGAGGCTACGTCTAGACTCCGTCCCTCTGTCGACAGAGGGATGCAAATCAAGCACGTGGAAATTGCTAATGAAGCTGGGATTTAAATATTTTGTGCCTCATTAGCATAAACAGAGTTTTTTCGAAAAAAAACCCTGTCAGTCTAAACGCGGATCTGTTGAAAATAAATCCTTTTTTGAAAGATCCTGTAAACCTCATTTTTTGAGGAATACAGGATCTTTTGAAAAAGGGTTTATTTTTGACAGATCTGTGTCTAGACTGCCGTTTTTTTGGGATTTTTTTTCGAAAAAATTCCACTTAGAAAAAAAGCGGCGACCATGTTTAGGCTAATGAGGTGTGGGATATTTAAATCCCTGCTTCATCAGTAATTTCAACATACCTAATCTACATCTCTCTGTTAAGAGAGAGATGTAGTCTAGACACACCCTGCGGGTATGTCTACACTAGCCCCGTAATTTGAACTAGGGAGGCTAATGTAGGCATTCGGACTTGCAAATGAAGCCCGGGATTTAAATATCCCAGGCTTTATGTGCATGTTCCCATCCGGTCACAATTTTTAAATGCTACACGTGGCAGTTAAACGGTAATTCGAACTAAGTCCTTAGTTCGAATTACCTGTTACTCCTCCTGGAATGAGGTATAACAGGTACTTCAAACTAAGGACTTAGTTCAAATTACTGTTTAACTGCCACGTGTAGCCAAGGGCAGTTAGTCCGGACCAGTGGCATTTAAAAATGGTGACCGGACGGGAACATGCAAATAAAGCCCAGGATATTTAAATTCTGGGCTTCATTTGCAAGTTCCAATGCCTACATTAGCCTCTGTAGTTTGAACTAGGGGGCTCGTGTAGACATACCCTCAGGGTGTGTCTAGACTACACCTCTCTGTTGACAGAGAGATGCAGATTAGACAAGCTGAAATTACTGATGAAGCAGTGATTTAAATATCCCACACCAGAGGGTGCGTCTAGACTGGCAAGATGAATCCTGACCCAGAGGTTGCTTGACTAGATCCTGAAGACCTTCCTAAACCCTCAGCAGGGATCTGCTTTTGCGC